GGATTGAAGGGGGTGTTTGTTGTGGGGGATAGAGTAATAATTCCGAAATCGTTAAGGAATAACATATTAGATTTGTTAAACGAGAGACACCTGGGGATAATGAAAATGAAGGCAGTGGCAAGAAGCTACGTATGGTGGCCAGGGATGGACAAAGAAATAGAGACATGGGTAATGACTTGCACACCTTGCCAGGAATCTCGCCCAGCACCACACACAGCACCCATACACGACTGGGAGAATCCCGGGGTCCCTTGGTCCTGCATACACATAGATTTTGCAGGGCCATGCCAGGGAAATACATTTCTGATCATCGTTGATGCCTACTCTAAATGGTTAGAGGTAAATTTAATGCCATCAACGACGACAGAAGCAGTCATCCGAGTCCTCCGGAGACTGTTAGCAACACATGGTTTACCCGATCTGGTAGTCTCCGATAACGTGCCCCAGTTCACAGCTAATCAATTCGAAATGTTTCTAGCCAGCCAAGGGATCCGGCACGTACTATCCATGCCAGGAAAACCGTCCACTAATGGATTGGCTGAAAGGATGGTGAGGACGAAAAAAGAAACCTTAGCAAGACTGGGCCCAGGGGACATACAGACGAAAATAGATAAACTACTGAGCATACAGCACATCACACCCAGTGCCAACACACATAGAAGTCCCACTGAACTGTTAATGGGAAGGAAACTAAGGTCTACTTTAGACAGACTACACCCCATTACAGCACAGAGAATTCCACCAGCAAGACTAGACAGTTCCAAGTGGGGGATAAAGTGTACGCAAAGAATTTTAGTGGAAACCCCTTATGGGTCCCAGCAGAAATAATTCAAGTCACAGGCCCTCTATCCTACAGGATAGAGATGGAGGACGGCTGGAGTTGGAAAAGACACATAGATCAGCTCAGTGGCTGATTAGTCAGAAGAGAACACAGATCACAAGAGGGAACCCAGGGGCGAGAAAAGGAAATTCACACAGAAACAGACCAGGCCCTACATTAAACACCACCAATGAACAACAGGGACAACACTCAAACCCGACTAGAGACAACGAACACTTATCTGGGGTCCGGGAGGGAGTTCTCGATAGCAGCGACAGTCCACCATTCCAGCTGGGGGAGGAAGAAATAAACATCCAACAAAACAGGCCCACACCATTGGCGGAGTTCGAGAGAGTTCCGGAAGCACCTCCAGGAAAGACACAGAACTCGACCTCTCGCTCCAAGATTGCTGGAATAACTGAACTGCGCAAGTCAAGCCGTGCCCTGAAAAGACCCACCTACTTGCGCGACTATGTGGCTTGAGAGACTCCAGGATTGGTCAATGCTGATCTAGAGGGGAGGGGTGTTAAGTATTGAATGATAATTCAAATGGACCAATTAGAAGCGAGCAAATAGAGCAGGAGATTTAGAAGCACGTCAGTGGCTGAAGCCGCGGATAGCTCCTTTTAAAAGAGGCTGCCATTGCTGTACTGGAACTGAATAAACTCATGTAACTGTAGTGTGTGTCCTGTGTCCTTACTGCGCCCACTATTCAACACTCATCTCACGAGATATCCTTAGGTAATCATCCAGATTTAAGGAAAGATCACATGCCCCAGAAAGGCAGTAAAAAAATCAGACAGAATGCCAAGCTTGCATCCTGCCTCTCAGCCATTTATTTATTTGTTTGTTTGTTTGTTTGTCATATTTCTATGCCGCCCACTCTCCGAGGACTCTGGGCGGCTTACCCTAAAGACAGTATACTAAATAGCATATTGCCTCCATTGCCTGGACTACTGCAATGCTCTCTACATGGGGCTCCCCTTGAGGAGCACCCGGAGGCTCCAACTGGTGCAGAGTGCGGCTGCGTGGGTGGTTATGGGAGCGACGTGGCGCTCCCATGTTACACCTCTCCTGCGCGAGCTGCACTGGCTCCCGTTGGTCTTCCGGGTGCGCTTCAAGGTCTTGGTTACCACCTTTAGAGTGCTCCATGGCTTAGGACCCGGGTACTTACGGGACCGCCTGCTGCCACCAGTAGCCTCTCACTAGCTAGTACACTCTCATAGAGAGGGGCTCCTCAGGGTGCCGTCGGCCAAACAGTGTCGACTGGAGGCCCCCAGGGGGAGAGCCTTTTCTGTGGGAGCACCTGCTATCTGGAATGAGCTCCCCCCGGAGATACGGAGGATCCCAGATTTACGCACCTTCCACCGTGCCCTCAAGACCTTTTTATTTCAACAGGCTGGCCTGGCCTAACTTCCCTTTTTAATTGTAAATTTTAAATCTGTTTTAAAACTTTAGGGGTGTTTTAATCTGTTCTGGGCCAAACTATTTAATTGGGTTTTTATATTGTCTTTTAAATTTTGTAGTCTGTATGTTTTATCTTTTTGGCTGTTCACCGCCCTGAGTCCTTCGGGAGTAGGACAGTATATAAATCTAGTAAAATGAAAAAATGAAAAAAAACAATCTATGTTCTTTTTTTACCCACCTCGGAAGGATGGAAGGCTAAGTCAACCTTGAGCTGGTGAGATTTGATCCACTGATCTGCTGAACTAGCAGTCAGCTGAAATAGCTGCAGTACTGCACTCTAACCACTGCGCCACCTTGGCTCATTTCTTCTATGGCTATGCCAACCCTTCTGTAAATAGCTATTCCAGCTGTGTTGGAAGTATACTCAAAAAGCTTAAAACAACCCTTTAACAATCTTTAAGAAAGTCAAGCCCCAGGAATAAAAGTACCACAAAAAACTGGGGGGGGAGGGGGGAACGGGACTCCGGAGAAGCTCAGTCTACAGACAGAAAGTCTGGGTGTAAGGCTTACAATGTAACACGCTTAACCCAGAGGCAGTTTCTGAAAACACTTAAAGCAGCAGGACAATTAAGATAAGGATTAGGCTAGAAATACAGGCATACCAGAATGTTTCCTTCCTGACGCCCTTGCAAGATTAGCCCCATAAAGTGGGAAAAGATTTCTTCCAACAACCAGTTCTCCGAACTGCTCAGAAAATTAACATCCGATTTGGGAGAACCAATGCAAACCAGTAGCAGCTCACCTCTGGCTTGGCCCCCACCCAGGCTAAACCCTCTTGCATTGTACATTCATTTATGTTAGCTTGGAACCACTTATCCCCCTCTAATACTGCCTTTAGGTCCCTGCTATGCCTTCCCCAATCTGAGGCTTCGCTTTATCCAGCGCTCAGTTGATGACTGGTGTTGCAAGCTGGTGGGATGGAATAATCGGTCTGACTATTTCCTGCTTGGAGCTGTTACATTAAGCATCCTAGATAGTGCATCGGCTAATAATTTTTTTCCCCTGGGAGGCAGCAGAAAGTGAAAACGCTTCCATGTTAAGAAAGCCCAGTGCACCACATAAGCCTCCTCCCAAACCACCCATTGCTGCTCAGTGTGAGATAATTTACTGCAGGTTATAGGGCAGTCTGGCTGTTCCTTTGTAAAAGAACCACCCACACTGCCACATCACTAGTGTCCACTGAATAATAAATGGGGCATTAGAATCTGGGTGCTTTCACACTGGTTCAGCAGGAAACAACCATCTGAGTTTTTCAAATGCTGTCTGGCAGCCATTGTCCACTTCAATGGCTGGCTAGGTTGGGTTTCTCCTCCCCTTTTCTCTTTATCAAGTTGGTGATGGGGAGGGTGGTTCCATACACCAATACAGAACTACCCCTTGGTCCCATCTAGCCCTCTCCCCATGGTCTGTTTGTATGTAGCCAATCTGGCACCACCAAGATGTTTTAGGAAACACTGAGGTGTTTTGGCTGGTGAAATTTCACTCTGGATAAATGGTCTTGAAGATGCCAGCACACCAGCATGAACCAGATTCCAAACTGCTCTGCTCTTCCCTGTCAATCTCCTCTCCCAATTTTCCATCATAAAGGTATACAGCTTTATTGCCCATTTGTTCCCTCCTCCCTTCCCCAATTGATGATAGAATATTAGCAAGGCACCAAGCCAAAGGTGATGAATGTGACAACATCTGTTCCTACCCCATCACGTATGAAGGAGACTGATGGGTTAGCTCTTCCTCCTGCTGGCAGGAAACATGTGGAGAGAGGGCAAACAAAGCTGGGGGAGCCATCATTTCCTTTCCTTAATTGTAAGAAAGTATAAAGATAAGACCACTCTTGGAACCTGATTACTATGGCATAATGGGGCTTTGCTGGCAGGATAATAGATTTTATGCTCTCACATTTTTCTGCCAGCTAAAGGACTAGTGGGTTGCACTTTACTGTGGCCAGCTGCTTGTGTCCTTAATTTGATAGCACACAGAAATTGCCCTAAAAGTTCTCTGGATTAAGAAAGTGGGATGGAGAAGCCATCATGCAGAATGTGAGAAAGTTATGCATCAAAACATTAGGTTCAGGGGTAGATTCTAAAATTTTTTACTACCCGTTCTGTGGGCATGGCTTGATGATCATGTGACAATTCTTTAGGATTTAGCAGAGGTACTGGTCTACCAGGCTTTTAACTGCTTGCAGAACTGTATCGGTCTACTCACTGGTTTTTGGAGACACCGGTCTACCTATTTGTTTTTGGAGGCACCAGTCTACTCATTTGTTTTTGGAGGCACCGGTCTACTCATTCGTTTTTGGAGGCATCGGTCTATCACCACACTGCCTTTTAACACTGATCAGCTGTAAGGTGGCCCTTTGACCCCCCACGGCAAGAGTTTAAACAGTTTTTTTCCTTCTAGCCGATCAGCTGGGACTCGGGAGGCAGCAATAGATTGGGGGTGGGGCCAAATAAAAGGTAAGAATAATGCGGAAGGCAGGGGGCGGCAGGGCCCAGCTCCCGAACAAAGAGACCCGGTTCGGTGACATCATATTGTCACCGCTACCGGCTCAGCTGAACCGGGCCGAACCGGGAGGAACCCACCACTGATTAGGTTGTGTAGATGTGGCCCAAGTTTGGGTCTGAAGACTTAATCTGGAATTGAGATTGTCAGCATTGCTCTGAATTACTATGTCTTTTGCACAGCTGACTCCTCATTCTTTGTGTTTCAGACACACTGAGAAACAGAAACTAGGGTTTGTGCCCCCACGGGATCTGGACAAGTATAGTCCTCTGATCAAGAGCCAGTCCATGACCAGCATCCAAAAGAACAGAGGCAAGGAAGATGCCCTGACTCCTTTACATCAAACCAAAACCAGGAGCAAAGTGCAGCGTACTCAGAGTGTCCCAACCCAGACCAAGGCATCTCGGCGTATCCACAAGCAAAGTAGCATAGAGCGAGTGGTTGACAGTCAGGACAGCAACCCTCAGCCTTATGACTCCTCTCTATGCAATGGTGGCAGCCACAAGGCATCCCAGGTAAGCAGAGTTTTAGAGTGGTTTGCTCAACTACTAATGTACTTTTTGGAATATAAGATGCACTCCCCCCCTAAAAGTGGGTGGAAATGTTGGTGTGTCTTATATACCGAATGCAGCCATTTTTGGCCTCCCGAAGCCCTGCCCTGCATGTCCTGTTTTTGCCCAAAACAAGCCCATTTTTCGCAAAAACGGGATGCGCAGAGGGTTTGGAAGGCCTGCAGAATGCGGGGAAGGCAAAAACCGGACGCGCGGAGGCCACAAACTATTTTTTTTCTTGTTTTCCTCTTTAAAATCTTGGTGCATCTTATACTCTGGTGCGTCTTATAGTCCAAAAAATATGGTATATTTCCTCCTCGTTTTCCAGCGTGGAGGCTCCATTTAAAGGACATTTTGTATTGCAAGTGGATTAAAGTATTTCCATGTCTCTGTAATTTTTCTCCTATTCTTGTTCTCTTCAAACTCACCAAATAATGTTCTTCTACTTTAGGAATGCTCAAAGCTCCACCCATCTGTATCGCTGCCCCAGAAACCATCGGTCCCTTGGTTACGACATTCAGAGGATGCATCAGCAATGCAAAATTGCCTATACTCCATGCAACCCCTGGAACAGGTATAGGAGGATTAGTTTTCTGTTCATCTATTCCTAATTAAAGAGCCACCCCAAAAAATGATGGAAAAAAATGTGTGTCGTTGAAAGTTGCATACATGCATCTAGCAAAAGTAACTTTTTAAAAAGTGATGATATCATTCCAGAAATATAATGAATGACTATTATTTGTTTGTTTGTTTGTTTGTTTGTTTTATTTATGCAGTTGATATAGCCACCCATCTCACCTATAATTACTCTGGGTGACTTATCTTAATTGGGGATGCTTGGTCAATGAGCCTTAGATTTGATAGGTCAATAGCCATATGTTAGAAAAGAAATTGGCGAAATGGAAATCTGTTGCATGTTAATTTCCTGAAAGAGACTGCATCAGAAACTGAACTATGCTTTCATAGGAGAGTAATTGAGACCTCTGTGCAATGGGCAGTTGACATGTTGCACTGGCCAATACCAAAAACAACCTCAGACACACTTCTCCTGCTTTGGGGATCACACTTTTAGCTGTTTACATTTCCCAGTCCTTTCCCTGTAGTTTTGTAATGGAGGAAGAAGTGAAACACATATTTTTCTGTTGTTAGGAATCATAGCATAACAAACTTATGTTCAAAGCATAGCTAGAGAGAGCCATTCTAATTTACTAGGAAAATTTCACACAAAAGCAATGTCTAGAATGTAACCCTGCAAATCTTTCCCCTAATTGGAGGAAGATGAGTCTAAGAAAGAAAATCCTCAAAGCTGCAATTTTATACTGGGTCAGCACAGTCTAAATATGTAGCTCCAGCAAAGGGTATTACTGAAATTATCTTGTCAACTGAATCCAGAACTTTCTTAAGATTTCTTAAGACATAATTGGAGTCTTCCCCAATTATGATGAGAAGAGACTAAAACATCCCCATCTAACTTTTCTCTGTTCCTGCATAGCTTTCCCTCATTCTCTTAATCTTGAGCCCTTGGTGGTCTTGAGCCCAGGGGTGCTCTAAGCTTCATTACTGCCCCCTCTGCCCCCCTCCCTAGTATGCAAGACAGATGGAAGTGCTGCAAATGAAGCTGAGTTCAGCCAGAGACAAGCAGCAGCTCCTGGAGGAGCAGGTGAAGTCACTGTCTGGCCAGAATCAAGCACTGCTGCAGGAGCAAGCCAGATTTCAAGAACAAGAAGCAATTCTTAGCAAGAGACTAGAGGAAACGGAACTTTGCCTGGTACAGCTCAGCAGCAGGTAAGAGAAGCCAGCAACAGGAGGCAGAGGCACAATGTCAAATGGGGGGTGGGGGAGGGGGAGGGGAAGGGACTGCTAGCCCTGATAGGAATTTTCATTCCATTCAATGTCTAAGTTCCAGTTTATTAGACAATGCAAATCCCATGGCAGGGGATAAGGAAGAGAACAGTCCAAGTTTCCTGTTCTGGGAATCCTGCAGGGCATAGTTGGGACCCAATCCATTTACACTGTTCAAAGAAATATCCAAGAGGAGGGATTGTAGGAAGTTAGCACCCACCCCTTTCACTTTCACTTGGCATTCGCTCGGCTTCCGTTCCTTTTAAACACAAAGTTCCACGTTTGGCAAAAACCTCCCCTTGCTTTCTCTATCCTACCGGTCACGGCTCGGTGGAGCTAGCGGTAGGCAGAAGTGCGGCTAGAGGTCACTCAAAGAGGTGGAATCGGACTGTTGTCTGGATGGAATCCCACACACACACTTCCTCCTTCCCTAACAGAAGGTCCTCTGCTCTGGCAAAACCCCCATGCTCTCCAGACTGTTGGTCTTTCTGCGGTTAGGAAATGCACAAAGGAAGCAAGATCCAGCTGTGATTGGGGGAAGGGCCCTCTCACACATGCAGGCATACACACATTTCCCATGCTTTTCCATGCTTTAAAATTAAAATTTAGAGGTACTCACCTCTAACCGGCTTCTTAGAAAACTGTTGAGCTCAATACTCAAAACCCCTTTAAAACCTGGTTCCAAATGGCCAAGGTCCAGGAAAACTTACCCACAGACTCAATAGGTCTGCTGCTAGCAAGGGAGGCTTACCTGGGCCAGGTCCATTGGTTAGGTTAGCTTGGAGTCCCATCTGTGGGGGCCAAATTATTCAAAGAAATATCCTTCTGGGTTCAGCTCCAAGTGGGGAAAAAGACACTGGAAACATGGAGACTGCTTGGAAAGATGGTTTAATGGTGGACAGGATCACATGGTTTGAGTTCCCGGACAGAAAAGGGTAGAGATGCTGTGAGTCCCCAGGGTTTTATGCCCTCTCTGGCTTTGAACTTCCTGGGGCCCCGAAAGAGTATCCTGATTGGTTGTCAGACTCCCAGGAGGTCTTAGCTAGCCTTGCTGGCTGATGTAATCTTCCCAGGTGCCATGTGGTGAGTTTCTGTTGCTAGATGGGTCCTATTGTGTTGCAGATGATGGTCCATTGACAAAGGGTGGTGGGGCAGGAAGGTGGGAGCTGCTTTGTCTTTAAAACATGTTTCTCCATTTCTCAACCAGGGAAATATAATATTCTGCCTTTTTAATATTTCCTAAAATATTTCATTCTTCTAGGAAAGGGGTGGGTGCTAACTTCCTACAACACCAAGGAGCCTAGCAGGAAGTAAAAAAGCTCTTGGGGCTGATAGTGAAGTAAGCATCCATGGCCTGATCTTTCCCATGGCAAGACCAGCAGGTCTGAGCTACAATCAGTAGCTGAAGTCTTACGCTGGGCTGAAAAACAAACAAACATGGCAGTACAATCCTTGTAGTGGAAAACACAGTTTCATGAAGTATCTCATTGGCTATGCCACTGAGAATAATTCTCATATAGACTGAACATCTGGAAGGTTTCAGTTTGTAGAAAAGGAATCATTTACACAGAAAGTGAAAAGGCTAATGTGAACTTCTCTTTGTTATTCTAACTTTGATTTGCTATCAGTTTGCCTTTTTTAATTCTGTCTTTTATCATCCCTCAAACTGTTGCCAGGGGAATCTTGAGGGTCAGTGACTAACTAGCAGGGAATGTGGAGAAGGGTTGGAACCACAACCCATCTGAGGTGATATCTGAAGGAGACTTGACTGCTATGTTTCTCTAGGGTGTCCTGCATAGAGGCCAGCTGGAAAAAGGATCATGAAAAGCTGCAAGTGAGTGAGGAGAAGGCCAAACAGCTGGTAAGAGCCCTCCAGAGGCAATGTGTAGTAAATGGGATCTAACCTATGCAAAGACTTGTTGTTGTATAAAGTGTTGTATAAATAACAGAAAGACGGTTCTGAATTATGAACAATAGGCTGAAAAACCAGCACAGAGCTAGCTAACATCCCACCTAGGTGGCAGTGTTGTGGAAGCGGAGATGCCAAAAAAAGAGAAGATGGCAGTTAGGGCAAACAATGCAAACCCCACCCCTTTTGTACGTGCATTGACACTGAATGCAGATACAAAAGGAGTGGGGTTTGCACTGTGGCATCCACCATGTTGCTTCATTTGAACCTCCGCTGACAGATGTCATTATGCAATCCAGGGAGAATTTCAATAGGACAAACTCAAGCTTCTGTGCCTGAGTTTGTACTTGACTTCTTCATATCATGCACTACTAAGCCTCTTATGCTCACAGAGGTGGCAACCCTATTTCCTGGAGAATAATTTGCTGTAGATTAAGAATTGGTGTGGCATGACTGACTCTCTCCAGCATGTGTCTTGTAGGATCTGCAGTTCTCCAGAATGGAAAAGGACCATGACCAGCTTTTCCATGCTGTTAGCCAGATGCTGGGGTATCAAGATAACCAACCACATTATGGCAACAACTCTCAAGGCTTGTGTGGATAAGAAGATTGAGAATGGGAAAGCCATATTTCCCACACAGCTCTAGTATGGAATCCAGAGAAGTCAAGAGGATGGAAAAATGTGCCTTCCACTAACAAGGACAGCATCATATTAAGAGTTCTCAAAGGTATTCAGCCATTGCTTCAGTTTCCAATCCATCCCTTCCTGAATTCACACACATTCCATCCTCCGGCTTAAAGATACCCCATTTACCATTTTCTGGGTACATATCCTCACTGCAGAGCTGCCTTGGCTTGAAAATGTTTTCCCTGAGAAAATGGAAGAATATCTCAGTTCCAGATCATTCCAACCTATGGGCAAAGAGTCTCCTGAGCTTGAAAATACGTGGCTCTTCCAGTTGGCTATATCTCCATAGTTGTTGGTACTATGGCTGCCAAAAAGGCCAGACACTTTATTCTGCACTTCTTTTCTGTGCTTGTGGCTTGGTCAGGGAAATAGTTTTCTCTTACCCCTAATAGACAAATGAGGGCCTTCAGTGAGTTGATAATTCTGTTGCTAAGCAGGAGGTTTTCTTTAATGTAACTTTGCTCTTTCCTTTCTTTCCCCCCTTCCTTCTCCCCCAGCATGCTCTTTTGTGACAATGAATACTCCAATCCCAAAGTGTGAGTGATTTACAGTTGAGAGTGAGGTGGAGCAGTAGGACTTTCCCTTCTGTACTGTCAGATGGTTTCAGGCGCTGAGGGGAACTCAACAGATTAACAGAGTTTGAAGGGACCTTGTAAGTCATCTAGTCCAACCCCCTGCCCAAGCAGGAGAGTCTACACCATTTCTGACAAATGGCAGTCCAGTCTCTTCTTGAAAGTCTCAAGTGATGAAGCTCCCACAACTTCCGAAGGCAACTTCTGTTCTATTGGTTGATTGCTCTTACTGTCAGAAAACTTTTCCTTATTTCCAGGTTGAATCTCTCCTTGGTCAGTTTCCATCCATTAATCCTTGTCTGGCCTTCAGGTGCTTTGGAAAACAGGTTGACCCCCTCCTCTCTGTGGCAGCCCCTCAAATATTGGAACACTGCTATCATGTCTCCCCTGGTCCTTCTCTTCATTAGACTATCCATGCCGAGTACTTGCAACCATTCATCGTATATTTTAGCCTCCAGTCCTCTAATCAGCTTGGTTGCTCTTCTCTGAACTCTTTCTAGTGCATGGGGGTGGGGCGCGTGCACAGGGGCACATGTGCGGGGGTCATGTAATGAACGCATGCACAGGGGGCACACATTGCATTATGGGTGACGGCACGTGCGTGCGCTGTTGCGCGTGCACGTGCACACTTTTGGCACATGACAACAAAAAGGTTAGCCATCACTGATATAGACTTATGTTCTTTTCCATGCTACTTCCCTCTCAACTGCTTGGAACTAAAGAAAGAGATGCAATCCCGCTACACCACTTCTTTTGCTATGCAGGGTGCTGCAAGAGAAGGCAAGTGTGTGCTGTAAAGGATGCACTTTCCATTGTTGTGCTCTGTATCAAGCAGGGGTGATAAAAGAGACACACTACGAGGGTAAGAACAGAAAACCTGTAGTAGCCTGTGCAATTTTTCCTGACTTCAGCAATAATTGGATGAAGAGATACCTTCCCTGGGTCTTGTCAAGTTCACCATCTTTTACCAAGCCCCACTCCTCACATGCTTTTCTCTTGCATGGATAGTTGGACAAAATATATTACCAGCTTGCAGTCTAGAGCTCTGTTCTGCTGTTAATGGGTTCCCCCTCTCCAAATATTCCAAAAAACTGTCTGAAAAGCAACACTACCAGCCTCCATCCCGAGGTTTGGTGAAAGGCAGACTCTGGTGCAGTGGCTCTTCTATCAACATACATTCCTCCAGTGGGGAGGAAGCACATCAAGTGTGGCTGTGCAGAGGAGCCCTGAGGTTGCATCCCTGTTTCTGTTGCCTAAGGGCATATATAGCCCGCAGTACAAAGGTCAGTCTTGCAAATTTTGGGCAATAATTGCTTCTATGCCCAGAAAAATCTCAAGCAAACATGAGAGTGTCCTGTGGGCTATTTGTTTCTTGCTTTACCTATAAAAGCTGCCAAGAGCTGCTTTCTTCCACCAGAACATTTTGATAATTTCTTTACTCTGCCTTTGAAGCCCATCTGAGCCAGGTGATGTGAGGGGTGGGGCTTAATGAAATGTCATTAACCCAGTACCTGCCGTTATAGTCTGCCACCATCCTGCTGCACCATGCCCTGAAGAAAAAGGGTCTTCATCCCTGTCCCAAGGAGGCTGCTGACTTGGCTGATGCACATGGCCAGCTGGCCCCAGAGCAAGTATAACCATTTCTGAGAGCAAAAATGCAGTGTTGTCTTCCATCTGCTCACTTCCCTCTAGGAAGGCCACCTCCACCTGTTCTTTTTCTGCTATGTGGTCACAAAGTAGCCTTTTCTCACTTGTGCTAGTTCAAGAGATGCTACCTGCTGTGCTCCATTTCATTCTTGTCAAAGCCTCCTGCCCATTTAACTCCCAGGCACAGAGCAAGAACACCTCGTCCCCTGGTCACTGTCCTCCATGACAGTGCTGTCATAACTGTGTCATTGGTATGGAGAAAAATTTGGTTCTTTTTTTTTTTTTTACATTGATGAAAAAATAAAATGCCTGCTTTTTTGTTTATTTGTTTTTAATCAGCTGAAATTGACCGTCTTTCTGCCCTTTCCCCTCCAAGCCCAACAGCTTTTTCTTTTCCTTAAAAATTTTCCCAGATTTGATTTCTCCAGTCAGGCTGTGGGAAATGTGTCCCCACCCTAATATCAGATGGCCATGACCAAAATGGAGGAAGGTATCTGAAATCCCCAGAAAGGGATTTCCTAAGCCACCTTTGGTTCCAGCTGGCTTACACGTGGGAAACAAGCAGCTCAAGGATACAGTGCAGAAAAGCCCTGAGTTTGTCTACTGTACAAACGGTATAGGCATAGAACATTATGAAAAAATTGACTTGGTTCTTATAGCTTCAGAGAGATGGGACAGAAAGTTTACAGCAAAATATGAACTGAAATAGGATTCAACTTGTTATTGAACCATAATCCTTTTGTTACATTTTATTTTATTTATTTATTAATTTTATCCCATCTTTATTATTTTTAGAAATAACTCAAGGCAGTAAACATACTTAATACACCTTTTTTATTTTCCTTCTATTTTCCCCACAACAACCATTGTGTGAGGTGAAGGAGTTTGGTTGGGAAAGTGACTGGCCAAAAGGTACCCAGCTAATTCTTCATGGCTAAAGTGGGACTAGAACTCACACTTTCCTAGTTTCTAGCCTGGTGCCTTAACCACTAAACCCAACTAGCTCTCAGCTGAGTCTTTGTTCTGCTGTGCTGAGCTGCAATTGGAACTAAAATTATAAATGGTTTCACAAAATATTCAAAATTGCACAATGTTCCCTGTTATAATAGAATTGTTCATCCATGTGGGGAGAGAAGATCACATGGTACATTAGAGTTTCATCTTCAAACAAGGCACTGCTTATCCAAGCCCCTACCCCCCTGGCTTTTCATTAAATGCTGGGAGTGCTCTTTTTTTTATAGCTATGTCATTGCATTTTTTAAAAAAGTTAAAGTTTCAATTTTAAAAACTTTAAAAAGCTTTAAAAATAAGGAAAGAAAGGATGGGGGAAAAAGTGACTTAATATTATTAGCATATGGTGTTGTTACAGTAGCTAGGAGACCACAATGTAATTGCAGAGTAGCAGTTTGGCTTACCAGTCCTATTACAGCACACGCTTGTGCACTACCCAAGGTAGGCCACAGGATGGCGAATTTGTGACAGGAAAAAGATAAGTGCCCTTTCTGCAGCATCACCCACGTCTCCCTTTCTGAAGCTACCTCACCAACAGACATTGCAACCAGAAAGATACAGAGCCATCAGGAATCTGACTGCTTGCACAAAGCACCAGCTCATCTCCCCACAAAAATGGTACCTATCTATTTACTTGCATAGAATATGCTTTTGAACTGTTAGGTGGACAGAAGCTGAGGCGAGTGATAGGTCATCCTGCCACACAGAACTCGAACTTGAATCAGAGACCATCTTCAGTGTCATTAAGCCACTGACCACCACGCCTCTCAAAGCAGCTTAAAAGGTCCCTTCCGCCTTCAATCAAGATGGGGAAAGTTTTATCTACCGGTACATTCACTTTTTTTTTTTTAAATAGACTCCCAAGAAATAGGCATTTGGCATTTGGATGGTATTTGGAAATTAAGTCTGGCCAGGAAAAGAAGGAGGCGAACCTGCTCCTTTGGCTGAGCTATCTCTGAGTCACCCTTCCCCAGTGGTAGCTCTAGTGTTCCCACCTTTTACTCTACTAGCCAACCTGTAGGCATCACACTTGAAGGGGCTACAGTGGCATTGTTCAGGAGACCTCTTCAGAACTGAATCATCCTGCCAGAGATGATTCCTCACTCAGTTCTCTTTCAAAAAATTAAAAGCCAAGCCTTTATCAAATTTCTAACTTTTCCAGATTTTCTATGCAGGGAATAATGGACATAGCTCTGGGCAAGGTGTTTGGATAGATATTTCTCTAGCTGGTCATCAGAAGAAGAATATCTCTTTCTTTCCCACAGCAGTTTAAAATTAGGCAAGGCAGTGGCTTCTTTATTATAAATTACATTGTCATCCGTGACTGGCTCATGGTACTGGCTCATAGTGTGACTGACTCATGATACTGTTATATCAGGGGTGTCAAACTCGCAGCCCATGGGCTGGATGCGTTATGTGCTGCCCCCCCCCTGCCCAGTTTAGCAAAGGGGGGGAAAGTCCCTATACATCACATGATGCCAACATGACGTGAGTTTGACACTCCTGTGTTATATCATCACATTGCTCGCTAAATAGTGATGCATCTGTTGGGCATTATATGGGATCTTTGTATATCCTGGGCTAGACTCTTTTAAAAAAACTGCCAGCCCTTTTTTTATTTCAAGCAAGTTTGGTGCTTTGTGGAGAGAGTGCTAGATCCATATTTAAGAAACAAGATAAGCACTCTGAAGGGCCTACTAGTCCTGTGCTGCTGATTTGAAACACAAGAGCCGAGTTCTACTTGCCGGAAACCGGTTCTGTCACATATTAGTGCATTACAGTTTTTCAACAAGAGATTTTGCATGTCCATACTACAGACTGTTTGGATTGCCTTGGGGAGTGGGCAATACCATTTTGCCTACTTTGTGGAGTATTTTCAGATGTTGCCAGCTACTGCCATTCACTGCTATCTTATAAATCTTCCCCTCTCATTTCATCCTGTGGCCATCCTCTGCATCTGTGACCTGTCAGCTAGGCTGTTTTGAATACAAATTTAGTATTCTTTAAAAATTGCTAGATCTACAGTATTTCCAAAAATAGACCAACTCCTTTAAGCAACTAGAAAGGTGGCAAATTCCTCTATTCCAGGTAGCCAGTACCTTCATCCCACCAAACTCACCCCACCAAAGTTAAGAAGAGCCTGTAGTACGGTGGACTAAAGCACTGTTATTAACATCTGCTGCTTGCAGTTACTGCAAGTTCAGATCTCACCAGCTCAAGGTTGACTCAGCCTTCCATCCTTTCTAAGGTAGGTGAAATGAGGACCCAGATTGTGGGGGCAATAAGCTGACTTTGTATAAATATACAAAAGTATGAAAGCTATTGCTTAACGCATTGTAAGCCGCCCTGAGTCTCCAGAGAAGGACGGCATATAAATTAAAGCAAAAAAAAAAAGAAGAAGAAGAAGAAGAAGAAGTATTGGTGAAAGATTTTCTCCTACCATGTGTAGGAGGGGAAACAAAGTCACAAAAATCTACAAATCATTTTCCTTAATTTGTCCCACATTCAATCTGTAGGGACAGCTCTGTTCACCAGCCTTGTTGCTGTACTCTGGCAGGGTAGAGGTTCAACAATCAGGGCAACAAAAAATTAGAATGGAAGATAACATTTGGTGAAATGCTATGAGGAAAACTTATAAATGCCAACAATAACAAAAAAGTTTATTTCAATATGTAAGGAACAAGAACATTTCCTTCCGATCAAGGAAATGTTCAGTCCACTAGTAGAAGATGGCAAGAAAGTGTTGGGCAGCAGGGAGAAAGTGGAACAATTTAATTCCTTCTTTGCATCTATCTTCACATAAAATGAAAAAAAAAATAGTCCAGCCTATCAAAAGCAGCACAGTGGGAGACAAAACAGGAATACAGGCCAAATAGGCAAGAAATGTATAAGAGAACACCTATCCACTCTAGATGAGCTCAAATCTCCAGGAGCAGATGGATTGCATGCACCAGGATTATGAAGGGGTTGGCAGAGGTGATCTCGGAAGTGCCGAACAAAATCTTTCAAAGTTTATCAAGGAAGAGGGAACTGCCAGAAGACTGGAAAAGAGCTGATGTAATTCCAAAAAGGGTGAAACGTGGATCCAGGAAACTACAGACCAATCATCTTATATCAATACCTGGGAAAATTCTGGAAAAGTTAAGCAGTGGATTTGTCAGTAGTAAAAATGAACAAAGCAATTACTAGAAGTCAGCATGGGTTTGTTAAAAACAGATCAGACAAGACTTATTGTCTTCTTTGATAAAGTAACTAAATTAGTTGATCAGAGAAATGTGGATATTACAGAACAGAATAAATGAGTTGGAAGGGACCTTGGAAATCTTCTAGTCCAACCCCTGCTCAAGCAGGAGATCCTATATCATTTTAGACAAATGGCTGTCCAGTCTCTTTTTAAAACCCTCCAGTAATGGAGCCCCCACAACTTCTGAAGGCAAGCTGTTCCACTGGTTTATTGTTCTTACTGTCAGGAAATTTCTCCTTAGTTCTATGTTGCTTTTTTCTTGGTTAATTTCCAACCATTGTTTTCTGACTTGCCTTCAGGTGCTTTGAAAAATAGGATGAACCCACCCTTTCTTTGTGGCAATCCCTCAAATATTGGAACACTGCTATCATATCACATCTAGTCCAGTGGTGAAATCCAATTTTTTTTACTACCGGTTCTGTGGGCGTGGTGTGGCTTGGTGGGCGTGGCAGGGGAAGGATACTGCAAAATCTCCATTCCCACCCCAGGGGAAGAATACTGCAAAATCCCCATTCCCTCCCCATTCCTGGGGAAAGGATATTGTGCAAAATCTCCATTCCCACCCCACTCTGGGGCCAGCCATAGATGGTATTTGCTGGTTCTCTGAACTACTCAAAATTTCTGCTACTGGTTCTCCAGAACCTACTGGATTTCACCCCTGATCTAATCCTTCTTTTCACTAGACTAGACATACCCAATTCCTGTAACCATTCTTCATATGTTTTAGCCTCTAGCTCCCTAATCATCTTTGTTGCTCTTCTCTGCATGCTTTCCAGAGTCTCAACATCTTTTTTATATTGTTGTGACCAAAACTGGATGCAGTATTCCAAGTGTGGTCTTACCAAGGCCTTATAAGCAGTGGTGGGTTGCTACCGGTTCACACCGGTTTGGGAGAACCGGTAGCGGTAAATTGGTGAGGGTCACAGAACCGGTAGTAATGTCTGGCTGGCCACGCTCCGCCCAGTCACTTCCTTTTCCTCTTCACCACCCGGGCAGCCTTGCCTCCCTAAGCTGCCTTCCCACATAGTGCCTGCCCTATGGCCCAACTGAGCTGCCTCCTCCTGCC